TGTTCAACCCATTTACATATTCGTTCTATGTACCTGTACGCACAGGGGGGGGGGGGGGGGGGTCAAGGAGCTTAGCCCCACCCCCACTTTTTTCCCAATATTACTTTTTCTATTGAAAATGTTCATTGATAGACAGGTTGCCAACCCAACCCCCCCACTTTTAAAGACGATGCTTCGTGTCTGGCTAATTCGTATAGCTTTCTAGAAAGGGGGGGGACTAACAGACCTTTTATAAAATAATTCAAGGAGCTTAGCCCCACCCCCACTTTTTTCCTAATATTACTTTTTCTATTGAAAATGTTCATTGATAGACAGGTTGCCACCCCCCCCCCCCAGTTAATACTACGGTAAAGTTATATATAAGAGAAATGTAGTATTGTATGCCAAGGAACTGGTACTGAAATAAGTAGCTTTTTCAACTTTGGGCAAGGTTTTTCTTTGCTTGTCAACTTTGCAAGGTAAGAAAAAAATATTTCTTTAGCTACCCCCCCCCCCACTTTTAAAGACGATGCTTCGTGTCTGGCTAATTCGTATAGCTTTCTAGAAAGGGGGGGGGCTAACAGACCTTTTATAAAATAATTCATTATCTAAAAAAAATGCAAACCGTTTCCTTCTTTTAAAATTTTTAAATACAGCGTGTAAGTTGATCACTATTTTGTTGGATAATCGTAATGTGTAGTCCGCGGAAGTTAGGCTAGTGTAGAAGAGTTCCGATTTTGAGGGGAGATAACTCACTTTTGAAAATAGGGAATAGTAATCCATCCGTACAGTGTTGGTACTTAGTCACTTTATTTCCGGGTTATCCCCCTTTTCCATGCATCAATGAAAGCAAAAGGTATAAAGGTATCTACGTATTTCAATTTGATTTTGTATTATGAAAAATAGTCTAACACAATTGCCGATTCTTAAAGTATCAGTAGATTGAATTCTTTTGTTTTCCACGATCGCGAATTTTTGTTTTGATTATGAAACTCCCAATTAAATAATTGTAGAGATCAGGTAAACTGGAAAAGAGATATTTAATTTAAGCCTGCTGCTTTTGCTTTTTAGTCAAGGTCAAAAGATATGACCGTATCTAATTTATTTTAAATAATTATGTCCCTTGACTGTAAATCTTAAATATAGGGTTGAAGCCAATATATAATTCCACTAAATACTACTGAATGATTTTACAATGTAATCAAATATATACATAGAACACCCCTATCTACGCGCGATCGGCAACGCTGATGCGATCAGCAACGCGATAGTTAAATTCAACTACATGAGGAAGATGAGGTTAAATAAAACATTATTTTGTCCTATTTCCTCGCAATTTTCCTTCAACATTTCTGACTTTTTAAAAGCTACTAGACATGTTTAACACCATGGAAGTCCTCTGCGCTTTAAAAATACCATATATTATGTTAAAGTAAAATCCACCTGTTACGTCATTCTTTTGTTTGAGCGCTCCATTACTTTTAAGGAATGGAGAGTTGCAAATTACATTGAAAACAGAATTTGTTATGGTCTTATTCTCCTTTCCGTGCCTCTGCCAAGGAAAGAACTTAGAAAATTTTAGAGAAGAGTTTTAGAAAATTGTAAAGGTTAGTTTTACATTAAGAAAATTAGAGCACCCATGATGAGAATCGAACCCGGTACTCTCACCATAGCAGTCCGATGCTCCTTTCGCTGAGCTAACGAAGCTGTTGAGATACATTGGTTTAGATTAACTTCAGTACACTTTTTTTAGTTTTTCTTTCTATATTTTATATAATTAATACTACTAATATGTAAAAAGTATTTACAATGTATCATATAAATATTCTTCATTATGTATTCACAAACAATAAAAACAAGCATTCAGAAAGGCGGATTTTACGCGGGTTAATATACTCGTAGCGCACCATTCCTTAAAAGTAATGGGCCTCGGCCCCTTCGGGGCCTCGGCTCCATTACTTTTAAGGAATGGAGCGCTACTCGTACATTAACCCTTACGTAAGTTAAGTATTCCTTGAACATGACTGCCCTAACGTGACACACGAAGCTCGTTTAAGTAAATCATAAATGTTAAATCCGATTTAAAGTTCTTCATCAAATAGAAAGCGTTGAAATAATGGTTTGAAGTGAACACATGCCAAACGTTTTGGCGATCGGCAACGACTCTATATGCGATCGTACAACTATCATGTTGTAAATTTTGAATTTACTAGGGGGAGGTAAATGCAAAATTTACAACATGATAACTTATCATGTTGTAAATTTTGCATTTACCTCCCCCTAGTAAATTCAAAATTTACAACATGATACAACAAAGAAAATATGATAAACATGCGATCGTGCAACTTGAAATTTATAAAATGCTGTTAATGAAATAAGTAATAGATAGCCATGTGGTATGGGTGGAAAGTCTGTCGAAATAGAACGAGATACCGAGCATTTGATTTTCGAGAAAAGTTCTTGTATATTAGTTGAATAATGTCCGTATTTTAAGAGAACAAAAACTCCATGAAACCCTAAAACTTGATATTATTTGATTATTTTTTTAAAACAGGTACCTATATAGAGGGTTATAGGACCGAATTCTAGCATTATAGAATAAAAAAAGGTTTTATTGTCTATGAAATGGCAGTTCAATTACAGGAGTTGGCATACATATCAAAAACTGATTTTTTTTCAGAAAATAAAAAAAGATAATGTATTAATACTATAAAAAAAAAACGATCAAAGGAATATTTGCATACCAAGCAATTTTACCGAAATTTTCAGTAAACAAAAAAATGTGTTGTACACGCACATGTTAATATAACAGCATTATGTATTACAGTATATATTTTTTTTAATTTACTGAAAACTGTTATTATTATTAGTATTACTTTTTAAAAATTAATTGACAATTTTTAATATTATACAAGTACATGGACAGTGTAGAATCGGGGGTGGGTGGGATGAAAGCTTTACTTTCCTATAGGCGTTGGAAGCAAATTGAAAGGGGGGCTAATTTGAAATGGGGGGGGGGGGGGCAAAACCAATAGGCTGGTTGTCCCCCTTTTTTTTAGTATATAGTCAAATCGGGGTAATGCAGCTGGTAATTTATAGATAAAATTTGGTTGTTCAAGAACTTGAATCATAACACCCCCTCCCTCCATCCCACACAAAAATTTTCCGAAATTGAATTTGGAGTTTAGAAAATTTTCCTTTACTTACACTTTGCATGATAAACCATCTAAGATATTTAGGGGTTTTTTTTTGGGGGGGGGGACACTGTTATGAAAATTGAGGCAAAATTTCTGCTTTACATTTTTGTTAGCCATCAAACTCTTTTTCAATTGTATCTCTTTAATCTACGTAGTTAATTTCTATTTTCTATATATGTATTAATGTAGGACAATTTTATGAATTAAAAAGGTATATAACAATGACTGACTGCCTAATTTAAATGTAAAATATTTATTGTATATCAAAATTAGCTTTTTGACAACAAGTTTCTTTGATTTGTGCTAGTCTTATTTCGTGTGTTGTACAATCGCTATTTCCATGCTGTACGATCGCTTCATAAAATGATACATGTCGTTGACGATCGCCTCGCGGTTGTCAAATTATCCAGTTAAAATTTGTTTTAAGATAATGTATGTAGTTTTAATTTTAAAATCATTTAGTTCATACTTCCAAGAACCGTTACATAACAAAAGCAGCAAATATTGGTAGGTAATAACAACAACAAACTATTTCAAAGCATGGAAATTTGATGTTTTGAACATTGTCGATTCGGTAGCATTTGTACAGAAACTGTGAAACAAATTTACTCTCGGTAAATCCTAAACTGTAGATATTTATCTAACTTAAATGTTTCTTAATTTTATTTTCAGCTGGTTACACACCAGCACATACAAAACTATTTAAATTTACCCCCTACAATACTTTCTTCTACAATGTTTTGATCGGCGTTGCCGATCGCATCAGCGTTACCGATCGCGCGTTGACAGGGGTGTAGAATGTTGTCAAAATAATTATGTGGTTGGGATTTTAGTTATATTAAAAAATATATAGTATGTTTAAAAGAAAGATTTGTATCTTAACCCCCCCCCCCCCCCCCCCCCCAAAAAAAAATGGATAGTGTAGTGTATTACCTTAAATAAATTACCACTGTCTGAGTGCCGTGAACTGATTACTGGTGTCTTCCAACATTTTCCCACATTTTTTAAAACAAGGGGCTTACTTTGGACAGACTGAACTTTGGGCAAGAAACTGTACATTAAATGATAGGCTAGTTTATTTAGTTCTGTACAATATTTCTATAGTTTGAATAAAATTAATGCAAAGATTAATTTCTGTATTCGAAACCTCTTTAATCAGCAGACCAGAATTTAAGTGTCAGCTTTTTTCTTCGTTACACTATATTTTGGAACATTGTTAACGTTACTTTTCATCCCTTTATTTTCCTGGTCGTTGTTTTCAAGAAATCTTAAATGAATCTCAGGCATTTAGAAAAAAATTATACAATGATATAGTACTACTTTACACATTTCTCATCGGTTTCTGGAGATTTCATTCAGAGATGAAGAAGATGGGCTTGGGCTTGCTAATTTCGGATCAATTAACCCAGCTTTATACAGACTATTATGAGACTAGGACAGTATAAAATACCCATGTATGCTTTGTTACACCGGTTTGGTCATTTCCTAACATCGGCCAAACCAGACAGTGGATTTTAAATCCTCTTGTAGAACGTAATACATGTATGTCTATGTTCGGTCGGCCTTGAAGTAACTTTAAGAATTAATGTTTAAATGTCCGAATAATATTGATTCGTACACCCAATAACGAAGTAACTCGATATCCTTCATATCTGGACACATTGATCTACCACTGGTATGTATATAAATTGATTTAATCATTTTATACTCAAATTTCTCAATCAGTAAGCTATGTGCTGACTCAGCATTTGATGTTTAGGTCCTCAGGAGAGTACCAAGAAATTAGACCTTAACACACACTTGGAAGTTATTGATTTATTCCTCAACATTCAAAACTTTAAGCAGTTAACAAGCTACAAGTGCATGCAATAATCGACAAATGTACAAAAGTCAATACTGAATACAAAAAGACTCGCGGACCCTGTACGGAGCACTCTGGTGTAGTTACAGACAGTTGTAGATGACCCGGAGCTGGTCTATTGACATGTTTATACATATAAGACTGCCAGGTGATTGGGAATCTTTATTGATTTCTTTGACTAATGAATACCAAGAACGGAGAGTTGTTAAGAGATCTGCAAGGGAAAACTTAGAAGGGATTAATTGTCCATATCAGACCATTAATATTTCACAGTGTCTTTTTTTTAATTACAGACAGAATGGTGGTGAAATATCTTCAAGGACTGCCAAAGACAGTGTCAACCAAGGAGATTCCATCACTGTATCATGAGCCACATATCGAGGAAGGTTATCGACAAAATGACCTTCCGTGGACGTACTACATCTCAAGTCTATTTCAAATGCACAATGAAACGGTCAATGTTTGGACCCATCTTATAGGATTCGTGATCTGTGTTTACAGTTTATTGTCCTTCCAGGAAAGTTACGATCTTATCATCGACCCGTACATGTGGCCATTGGTTGCTGGGTACGCTGGAATGAGTGCCATGTTTTTATTTAGCGCATGCGCACACCTTCTTGCTAATACATCTAGTGTGGTGCACTACACTGGTTTTGGAGTAGACTATGCAGGATTAAGCTTATATGGCATTGGAAGCGTAATACTTCACTTTAACTATGCAATTCATCACTCTGCCAAAGGATCTTTTGTACAAGAATACTCTGTACTGATAGGTGTCGTTCTCGCTATATTCGTGTGTATATGTGGTTGCGTGTCTAAGTTCAGCTACAGTAGGCCGTATCCTTTTCAGCGAAAGCTATGGATCATAATCCCAGTTGGCCTTGTGTTTGTTCTGGTGGAACTTCCGATAATACATCGACTTTATTTGTATTTCTCACACGAGATCCATGACGAGAGTCTCGTCCACCATATAGGTCACATGACTCTTTTCATTACTGCAGCTTTTTTCTTCGGCTCACACATCCCCGAGCGTTGGTACCCAGGGAGATTTGATTTGATCGGACATAGTCATCAGATATTCCATGTGTTTATTGTTCTGGTAGCTGTTGAGCAGACTAATGCTTTGAAAATCGACATTGCTAACCTAACAGAAAGCGGTATTCACCATTTAACGAGGTCGAAGTCGAGTTTCTCCCACACATTTGGGGTTATCTTGTTCGTTCTAATAGTCGATATATGTAGTGTTTATTACTTTCATACACTTGTAAAAGAACGAGAAAAGAAATCCGAATGAAAGTTTTTTTTAAAGAATAACTCAAAGAATTTTATTGGCTCCTAGAAATGCATTGTATTACGAACCAAAATTGTATCCGAGATCCTTGTCATAGGTAGGGTTTTGATGTGTAGGGTTTTTGGAATTTTTAAATGGCCACTTTATTCCTGACGAAGAGATTTTAACATATCCATTCTCCAGTTATATGTGATACTAAAAAATCAAAGCAATTACATGCACATGTATGTTAGTGATATGTATTTTATATATTTATCAGTGTGATTTTTATGCACAACGAAAATTAGTTCATGGTCTTTTACATGTATTATATAAAAACATTTACTTTGTATGGACTGTACAAAACCTGCAAACCATTGCAGGTTTTATATAAAATACCCTTGCATTAAAAATTGCTTGCGAACTAAACATCATAGAGGCATCCAAATCAAAGCGAAGCAACCCCCTCGCAAAATAAAGGCAGCTTTAGGCATCGATCCCGATGCAAATTTTATCACTTCCGTTTCGCATTAGGACAATTTTACACACACACAGACCTCCACACCAGTGCATAACTATGTAATATCCCCTCAAACTCCGTTGCGAGGGGATAATAATATCCATTAGAACCATAACTTGTACAACAGAAAAGTAAACAAAAAAGCCAAACAGCGTCAAAACAGATGTTTCCGATGCACAAAATAGTCACAGTGTACAAATAATAAATGATATTTTTTGCAATATGCATATGGTTAAAGCAATATGAGCTGTAACTTTGATGTCGGAATTTTTTGTTGCAAAATTGTAAATAACTATTTCAGTGACGGAAAAAAAATACGTTAATAAACTTCTGTTGTTCATATTTGCGATAGAAGAACTATTTATAAGCTTCGATTGAATCAAAATTACATTATTGTCATCCTGTAAAGTAATGATTTCTTATATAAAACTATACATTGAATTGTATATGGAAGCCTTTCTTTTGATTTATTTTAGTTTAATTGATCATAAAGGTTTAAGTTACATACAAATTTGTCATAATAACTTATTTTAACAACAAAATAAAATTTCTAAAACATGCAGCTCATATTGCTTTAAGAATATTTACATTTCCAATGTCTTTGTCCGAGATAAAATTACAAATTGTAAATGTACTTTATTTCCCTATCAATGTATTGGCGCGGTTCCAAAAAAAAACCACATGCAGGGCGGAACAAACAGCTAGACAGAAGCAGGGCTTGGTGACGTGGATTGGCGGAATCAAAGCATACATGTAAATATAAGGAAAAACTGTCAGATTTTTCATTTTCATGACGATGATCAATCGATTTGCTTGCTTGCCTTCGGCGTTTATGCAAATTATCACGCAACCCAATCGATTGATCACATCATGAAATCGAAAAATAAGACAGTTATTCCTTAAATAAAAGCGCATTAAGAAGACTTTCCCTATTATGGGCAGGTTCCTTTATGTTTCATATGAATATCTTATCTTTGATTGAAATTGATAACATGTTTCGTCGATGTTATGTTAATGGGTTATATGTTGTTTTGTTTGTTAGCAAATAAACAGATTTGTAAATTGAGGAGTTTGAAGATTTACTAAGAGTTTACCTTGGTCTGACAATGTACAAGTAATCTTAGGTTGAATTGCTGAGAAAAAATTTTGATGAACAAAACATCTTTAGACGTTGTTACGTTTGAAATCAATACGCACCTGTACATGCATTATACATGTCAACTGATTGCTAAGTACCTTGTATCTTGATATTCCATTCTTTGTGGCATTAATTGGTTATGATGAAATACGTGTATCTTTAGACAAATGTAACAATCAGTACGCATGTCTTTTGACATCCTCACCTTTATAGATCTAATAACATATTTTTCTGAATATGTCAAGATGCAATAAATTTGCTCTTAGATCATGACCCACCCTTTTATTTATAACTGTTCAATTAGCGTTTAATGGTAGAGATTCCCACTCCTGGAGAATACTTGCTGCTTATGTCAAGATGAATTGAGCATTAAGTTTGGCAAATATCTGATGTCGTCCCTACCCTCCTCTGACATGGATATTGTGTGGCACAGGGGTTTTGATAAATAAATTATTAATAAAGAATATTTATTTATCTCGTATTGTTTTCACTGTTAGATTATCATTCGTCATTATCATCATTGCACATTTACATATTTCGAATTCACTTTGCATGTTACTAATTCTGACTGGCTGACCTTGTCGACCTTTGACATTACGTAGTACATAGTTTTATTGGCCAAGGGTTTTGGCGGTAAGTTTTCTATTGTTCGATGTTGTGTGCGGGGGTACTCACTTCTTCGCTCGGACAGCCAACGTTGACGACTGTGAGAGGTTTTGTCTTGACGATTACAACATATTTGTGTTTTACAACTACAAGATTCCAGTTTAAGTATTATTATACAGACCACATTCAGTCCGATTTACTGATCCATTCTATGATTGTTTATGTGGCACGGTATCCAATAAAGAATCGAACCCTTATACAACTGTGTTTTTCATCTACATATATATATATATATATATATATAACACGGTCACAATTGTTTGGAACTCGATTGTTACCACTGTAGGTGTCGTGTTTACATCACCTGTACAGTGTTTGTTATCTCAATTTTGAATTCTCGGACTTTTTTTTTTGCGTTTGACGAAGCATGATGGGATTACATGTACTTCCTATACTGACATATGTTATAATGGTTCTCTAGCCCCGAGCTTGTCCTCTTGTTTTCCTGATTCAAGATGCAATGCGTTGTTCTGCTCATCAGGATGCATTGATAAAAGAAAAAGCTAACCATAAATCAGTGTCTCCACTGTATCGTTTTGAAATGAAATTTAAGTAACAGCGCAAATAAAGAAAGAGAGGAACAACAGTTTCTACTTGAAGACTCTACACTTTTAGAGGAATAAAATGAACTCTGGGACAAGAACGATATTTTATAGTGGGTCTTTGTGCAAATAACTAACATGTGATAATATAATAATGATATTTACATTTGAAATTAAACAGTAGATTTTGACAAATACTATGTTTGCAGGAGTGTACATTCATCCTTCCATACACACATAAACACACGAAGTAGAAAACACAACCCTACAGTAAAAATTTTGTGTCAAAGTCTTCTTAGGCAAACATTGCACCAAATACATCCATTGGTCGGAATCCACCATAAGTCGGCCTGCCTAACATTGCTGAGATCATCATTGCATCTAAATGCGCGTCAGTAATCATGGGTCTGGCTTCCTGCCCCCCTTCTGCTGCAGCTCCTGCCCCACCCTCCGCCCCAGCTCCCCCTTGTCCGTTACCGCGTCGCCGGGGTGGTCTGCTAAATTCAGGGCTTCGTAGAATCTCCATGGCGCGGGGATTGGAGTAGGAGAAATAGTCTATTATTGATTGTTGGTTTCGCATGTGCATGTTTCTTTCATAAGCCATTGGACTCTTAATGTAACAATCAGTACGCATGTCTTGTAGTGATACGAGAACAACCTCGCAACCATCTGCCACAGCAGCGCAACCTGGTGGTACATGTAATGCAGCGTCATCCGCAACCCCAAACCTTAAACAAAATGAGATGATGTCTTAGTAAGCAGTTTGTCAAGTTCACAAGTTAAATTCTTCTTACCACTGTTTTAATGAAACAATTACGAAATTAGCCATGATAAGTGTTATATCTTTTTTTGTGTTTTACTATAGGTATACTTTTATTATGTTTATTAAAAAAAAGAATAAAATGCGTTTGAAACTAAAGAAACTAAGATTCTTGAAAACAAATTGTTTATCCCTAGACCTGGCCTCCTCAGTATTGGTTACACGTCCTGTAATGGGGACTGTGTAAAAAAACGAAGAAAACTCCACCTACCCGCAGCAACTCATCCCCATGGTGGTGCACTTGCACCGGACACATTCCGGGGTCTGGAATTGGGATCCTACCAATATCTCCACAGGAACTGTGACGTTACCCTGGGTTACGTTATGTACACAGTATTGTCTTTTATTACCTAATTCTGAATTTAAAACATAAATATCATTACTATCATCAAAAGTTTCTTTGTCAAGAATGCATTTCGATTTTTCTATGAATTACAAAAGATAAAAATAAAAGAAGTAAAAAGAAAAAAAATGTAATATTGGTATTTTTGGTGACTGGTATTTGGAATCGTTTTGTTTTCCTTTTAATTTTATTTTTTAAATCAAGCTCGAACTAAAATACATCGAATTCTAGAGGTATTTAAATAAAATAAATATGAATACTGTACGTATTTTTTTATGTAGACATTTGAGTATTTTCTAAACTATAGAATAGTTTTAAACAAAATATATTACAATTCTTTCGAATAAATAATTCTAAATACCACAGAGGTGTTTTTTCAAGGTTTTGCAAATTAGGAACTAAAAAAACCATCATACGAAATATGTGTAACAGAAATGCATTTAGATCTATTCTAAAATTCGAATTTTATGATTAGGTAAGTATTAAAATTATCAATTCTTTGCTGTTTATGAAGAGACTGAGTTCAATCTGTACATATGGAGATAACAAAAATCATAAAGACATGTATATATATATTCCACAAATTTGAGACAATTTTCATAAGTGAAAATAAACCAGAAGTTAATATTGCTCTATCTTACTTGTAGTTTCTGTCCAACATGGTTCAATGAGTTTTGTAATACATATGCTCTCTAATTTCAACGCTAAACGTAACATCGTAAGTTTTAAACAGATTTTTTAAAATTAAGAAGTAAAATCAAATTTTTTAAGCTTTGGTCATGACCGCAACGATATAAAAACATGCAGTTTATATTTTTCTATATATTGAAAAGAAATATTTTTTTTTACAAATGAAAAGAAAATGAAAAGAAAATTAATACTCTGTAATATAATAGAAGTTGTAGAATTTTGGAATACGTTTCTAATCTGTGGAGGGCCAAATAAATCACCAGATGTAAAAATATGCTATTTGTGTAATTACAAAATCAATTTTTGTTGTTGTAAAAAACAAATATTTATACGTTTTAGGAAGTAACAGGCATAAAATGAAGTAAATTATATCACTAAGGCTTATTTTTTACTAATAATTAATAGCATGTAATTTTATTTGCACGAAAGACTGGTGCTGTGGTCATGACTAAAATTTTCGGTCATGACATCAAATTTTTGGTCATGACATTGCTTTGTTATACATATAAAAATGTCAATGAATAATTCTAAAATAAAAACACCAAAACACCAATAAAAATAAAAATAAAAAACAATGTAACATCGAATAAATTAAACGGTCTAATTATGCATGATTTTTGTCTGTCAAGTCCAACTCTTTACGAAACACAAAAAAAATCAATTGTTTTATGCTTAATTAAATAAAAAAATCAATTATAACGTTGATAGTTTAAAATATTTAATGATATATGTTGTTGTTTTAGCAAAATTAATAAATAATAAAAAGTTTGAGTTGAAAATAGTAACTATTGTCATGACCACAACATATCAAGTTGCGGTAAATGACCGTTTTGGTCATGACATAAATTGAGTTATTACCTGAACAGCTCACCATACGTACTATATGGATGGTACAATGATGTACATTACGTTGCAGAAACATTAAATAAAGCCGTTTGGAACAAGTTTACTATGTGAAATATTTGTATTGTCGTGTTTTAGAACATTCGGTCATGATCTACCATAAAGGAACTAATAAAAAAAGATACTTACAGTTACAACGGGATTTTTCTTCTAAACCTTTTGACCTACACTGTTCCTTTCCTGCCATCAAAACTTTTAGTAGTTTATTAGCCTTCTTTTATGGAGAGTAATAATTCAAAGGGCAGTAACTCTATTTTAAATAGCAGATTGCACAATCGTTTCGGTCATGACGAAATATTAAGTGACACAAAAATATACAACAAAATTTTAGTAGTATGATAAAAAAAACTACTGAATAAAAAAAGAAACATATTTAGGAGAAATGTATTAGAGTAAATAAGACAAATAAAACTGAAAAAACAAAAACTAGATGCGTCAAAAAACCCACAGAAAGTGGTAAGTCTATCATAGGGACACTGATATACGTCATTGATACATGATACAGTGACATTATTTTTCATTATTAAAATCAAACTTTAACATTTTTGCTCATCAATACAAAAAAGAATATCTTTTTATTTAATATTTAGAACAAAATCAGGGAAATTTTGTTATATTTAACAGGAATATTAGAGTGTTTTTCATGAGTGACAACATTTGTCTTAAATTTGTGGAATCACCCATATATAGTAATAGAAACCTAAAATAAACCAGTACATATTCCTGATTGCAAGTCAATTTTACTACATAAACTTACTTGTAGTTTCTGTTCTTAGTGGTGTAACCGTGCATCTACCGAATACATACGTCACTGATCCTAGAATAATCCCCAAAACGGCTAAACGTAACATCGTAAGTTTTAAAAGTAATTGTTTAAAATTGACTTAATTATGTTCCCCAAACGGAGTTTGGGAACATATTGTTTTTACTCGGTTTCTTATTATTATTATTATTATTCTTTTTTTTCTTCTTTGTTCTCCGGTACTTTTTTGTCCGCGAGTGTTCTCAGAAACTGTTCACCCAACTGAGCTAAAACCTTTTTAGGGTTAATAGGTGTGTAGTGTAGGTGTGCGGAACGAAGGTCATTTTGCGCGCATACACATGCACGTGCGTGCGCGTGCAACACGTGAAATGACTTATATACTTAATATAGCTATAACTTTTACATTTTTTAATGAAATGATTTGAAACTCATTCTATAAAGATATATTAATAGTGTTGATAATATGACACTGTCAAATTAGCACGAACTCACGCGCATGCACGTGCGCTTCGCTCTGATTGGCTGAAACAAAAATCTCAATATCTTTTCCGTTTTTTGACGAAATGATATGAAATTTAAAGTATAGGCATACTTTAGGATGTTCTACAATATGATATATAACAATTGTCTTGAAAGCACACGCATGCACGTGTGCTGCAATCTGATTGGCTTAAACTTTAAATGGCTATAACTCCCTTGTTTTTCATCCAAACAGGATGGGATTTAGAACATAGACACATATTATGGACTCCAACAAGAAGGTATGGTCATCATGCACATACATGCACGTGCGTGCATGTGCGCTTCGTTCTGGTTGGTTGAAACAAAACTCTCAATATTTTTTCTGTTTTTTGACGAAATGCTATGAAATCTAAAATATATACATACTTTAGGATGTACTACAATATTATATATAACAAATATCGTGAAAACACGCGCATGCACGTGCGCTGCAATCTTATTGGCTTAAATTGTAAATGGCTATAACTCCCTTGTTTTTCAACTAAACAAGATGGGATTTAGAACATAGACAGACATAACAGACTCCTACAAGAATGTATAGTCCTCATGCACGTGCATGCACGTGCGTGCACGTGAAATGATTAATATTAAAAATACGCTTAAATGAGTGTATTTCTTAATACTTCTGGATTAATTGATTTGATATTAAGTATATTAAAATATACAAATAGTGTAGACAAGACGATTTGGTCATTACGCACGTACATTCAGATGAGCACGCGTGCAATGCTAAAATTGAAATATACTTGGTATACTTCTTGGAAAACGTTGTAAAAGACTAAAATACGTAGAGTTTGCCTTATTTAATGAGGCTTACATGGAATATGGCACCAAAAGGGAGTTGGGGAGCGTTTGGGGAACATCTGTAACGGTCCCCGTTACAATTAGCCCTAGTTCTTTATGACATGCAAACTTTGGAGGATACAGATCTAGTCCGTACACATGATGCTAACAAGACGGGGAAGGACTTTCGTTTAACTGCCTACAATATATATCCATGGCTTTTTACTCGTATTACACCCATAAAAAACATTATCTGGATACACAGCTAATAGTAAATTATTTTTACTCCTGTATGTCGAACACGGCCCAATTAATTACGGGGACTTAATGGTGCCTGTCAGAGAGGACTATTGCCACGCTCGGCTTGTCTACTCGGGTGTTAAATAGCGGCGGAACAGTAGACCAGTGGATGCCGGTGATTGATCTTTCGTTCAAAATTCCCAGACAAATGGAAACATTTCTGCAGTTAGTAGACAAAAAACGTGTTCTTTATAATTTCTTCCAAATTATTTTTGGGTGCCTTTTTGCGTATATAGAATATTGTGGCAGTAAGACTTTGTATCATTTAGTAATATCCATTCTAAGTAAATTTGAGAATATGCATGGATACTAAAAATGATCCTGTTTCATTGCCATCGGTTCTATTCTGTTTCAAAAATTACAGGAATGAAATGCCTAGAACACGTGTAGTCGTCGATTTCTCTATAATTACGCAATAAGTATCGCGCGTGTTAATTGTCTTGTAATGGATTGTCTGTTTGTATATATGGTAATAAGTCATAATAATAATGGTCTCGTAAAGTTGCATAATATCCCCAGAACAGCGATAGTCACTTGCATTTTTGCCAGGTGTACATGGAACTGAATGGGCACGTTAGATCAAGGAACATTCTTTTAATTAACCAACATATATAAAAATTATACATGAAGCTGTATGATATATTTGATCCTGTAACAATCCAAAAAAGTATTTATTTACCGTAATTCTTCTGAATTGTTTTCAAGCAAGTTCTTGTATTGAAATGGTTTACCTCTACAACGAACATTCCAAATATAAGATAAAAACAGATGTTTAATTATTTTTTTTTAGTTATATTGAACTTGATTCATTGAAATAAACAATAATGTTGTTGTTGTTGTTGTTTTTTTTTTTTTTAAACCAAAATTTTTTCAATTCAAAGGGAATTGAGGGGACAATCGATACAGCTGCTCACACACACGTGTGTCATCAGTACCTGAAGTTTTGTCGTCAATATAAATTCTAACCAAACATAAATAATAAAAAAAAAAATAAAAAAAATAAAGAAATAAAATAATTTTTTTTATTAATAAATTGTACATGCTAGAAGACGAATGTCTGGCAGAAAAATAAAATCATATATCGGAGAAATGAATACCATCATAGCATGAAGGATATGGAGATAACGAACAGTATTCAATATCAAAGTCCATAAAACAATACAAAATAGGAGCAGAGCAAACATGGACATCTAAAACATCAGAGGCGGGATCAGGTGACATGGCATGTGAAGAAATCCCGAATAAATACAGCTGAAGAAAGTAAATTTTAATCGTATTTCATCTTTTGTGAAATTTAGCCACGTATACGTGCATTTCTGTAGTCGTTTCTCTTCAGGATAAAATCTATAATATTAGCTGGTATACCCCTTACCTTAATTCTTTACCAATGTGTATCCGATTTCCTGCTTGTACAATATATTTGATATTGTTCCTAGATTGTAAATATCTTTCTAAAAATAAATTAATAATATGCATTATAAAAAAAAAAAGCTTGTTTGTTTTATAGTCCATCTCAAGAATTTTTCACTCAGATGATGAATTTGTTAATTTTCATCGGGATCGAAATTCCATATCAGTTGTCAAATGAAGAAATCGGAGTTTAAAAATGAATCAGCCTCCCTTCACGATCAGAATACGGACAGAGCAGGAACAAGACATGGACTGGATGGTTCAACCTAACGCGATCACATTTCATCAGGCGTTGGTCTGTCATTTTATTGAATGTCTTTTTTTTTAGTTGCATTTCGAATTTCCTCGAACTAAGGAAGTACATAAATTAACTTATAACCTGAAAAGTACATCAACAGCCTATTTTTCTAATAAAGAATGAATTAAAATAAAATAACCATTTTATAAAACCAGGGAAGGTCCCTGCTAAACTCCATAAAAAGCTAAATTATCAAACTTTGTTTGTGTGTTTATTCCTCATTTACTATCAATGTTAATTCATGTTATGATATCTCTCTTTACAGTTTTTTTTCTCATTTTTGTTTCATCTTTACTTTTTATCTGTTATTTTTCCCATTATACCTGTCATTCAACAAGGGCAAATGTTTATTTATAGTTGAAAGTTAACTTAAGGAAACGGATTAATATAAGTTGTTACAACTTGTTTCCGAATCCTGTTTGTATTATGTATTGTGTATATATGATGTCTAATTCAAATGAAATAAAGTTTAAACTAAACTTTTTAGATTTTAGCATAGAGACCTGACATTAAACTAAAGAAAAGTATTACTCTTTTGGTGTTTCATGCAACCTCAAACTTTCTTTCAGAAAGACACACTCGATTTGGCTTATTTCTAAGTGAATTTTTGACTTCTCAGACATTTTTAATAGCCTTGTGTTTTAAGTTGTCATCTTTTTAAACTGGCATAGACCTGATAAACAATTAAGACAAAAACAGGTCTGCCATCTGGATCACTAGATTTCGATATGTAGCATGCATTACCTACATAACGTTAGATTTATTAACCTACCTGAAGTAGCTTGATTTAGCTACATAAGTATTTCTACCAACATAGCTTTATGTACTGATTGTACTGGACCTGGAAAAAAAAAAAACTTACAAGTGATTTGTATTTTTCAAGGCTTTGTTGGCTGCAGTCATTGTTTTATATAATGCACTGCTGTTCTTAAAAGCAATAATTGCATGCCCTAAAGCTGCTAATTAATGTCAAATAAAATTTGATTTTGTTTTATTCTGTTGAATAAAGACCAAAATAAAATAGCATTGATGCTAGTGACAAGAGGAGCTGAGAGCTGCTAAAAGTTGTAACATATTTTGTAAGATTATTATCATTCATATCATAGATATAATCATTAAATATATACAGTAAAACTCGGTTATAGCGAAGTCAATGGGACCTATGAAAATACTTTGTTATACCCGTAATTTGTTATACATGTATCCGTATACAAAATTCATTAAATTTACATAGTTGGGGTCCAAGATAACTTCGCTATATCCGTGAATTCACAATATCACTAGTACTAGACGAGTTTTACTGTAATAACCTTTTTCAGTATACTTTCAGTATAAATTGATGTTTTATAATCACTATGATTTATACATTAAATACATTTATACATGATTTATACATTACAGGAGGTAATAGCACAAGTTCTACCTCAGACAAGTGTTACAGCATTTGAATGTGAGTACATACAATAGATAAGTATATCTTACCAATACTATGAGTTGCTACTTTATAGTTTTATATGTAGTCAAGCTATTTATCTTTGGTGAGAATTAGCCACCTGTATCAGATTCCATTACCTGTACCGATGAGTATCAGATTCCATTACCTGTACCTGAGAGCTGGATTAAAATATTTTTCCTCCTGTAGATGAGGATGAAGACAACGAACGGATCACCGTACGAAGTGATGAAGAAATGGCAGCCATGTTTCAGGCCGTAAGGTTTTATCTTCATTATACAAAATACTTTTAAGTTGTTTGATCAATCAGAATTAGCAAAGTGTACTGTATGAGCATATGTTTTGGGCCTTTTTATACTGTTTCTTTTTACTGAACCCTTTGCAACTCCTTGGCCATTTGCCAATGAGGCCATTTTAAAGTTAGGATCATTCAATTCATTACAAGTATTAGTTTTCATTCCACAATACATGTTTGTTGTTTATGTCTTTTAAAGAAAATTCAGGTGTGGTTTATATATTAACATACCCGGTGTATAGCCCTTTCATCAGGTCCAGCACAATCGCTTGATTAAGCTATATAGCTTTATTTAAGCTATATAAGCTATATATTGAGAAAGGAATTTTTGCCCAAATATATTGTAGTTGGGAGCTATAAGGATTTACCAAATGGGAAATACTTAAAAAGGAATGAAAACTGTAACCCAATTTAAAATCTTTCCATGCAAGTTATTCAGCTAAATAATATTAAAACTCTTTTGATCACACTTCATGTAATGGCATTTCTTAATTATATTGCAGTATTTAGAGACTCTTTAGAGACTCTTTTTCGAAATGAAAAATAAATGTACACAATGGCATTTCAGTGATTTAAGAAGATAAATACATGATCTGACTGTACAGAGATATTTGTTGTATTTTAGTACTTTGAGACCCTCAGTGAGGATGATATACAATGCGGACTCCTCCCTCCCCTCATCATCTATCCCAGAGGTCAGTCATAATAAACAGACTATCAGATATCACATTGTGCAATATTTTTCAAGTGCATTTGTAAGGTGCTTTATATGTACACTAAACTTGATGCTCATCTCTTTAATGATGCTCTTCCCTTTAAATTTTCAGTTGGAAAAACTCCTCAAAATAGAAATAAATTTGGATTAAAGGTACATGTATATGAAATATTAATGATATAACAAACATTATATATTGGCTAATTGATTGTCAAACTATCTTACAGAATTTCTCCATGTTTTTTGACAGATTGATACTCATCCAAGTTCCAAGTCCTCCAAACCAGTTCAAACTGTCAAGCATATTCCAAGGTGATAATATAATATTTAATCATCAAATATTCCCTAGTTTAGTGACAGTTTATATGGTTATTTATTAGTTTGTCCAAATATCTTTATATCAGCAAATCATGACAATAGTATTAAATACTGTATACCGTATAATCCCTATTAACCGCCCTGTCCCTATAAGCACCCCTAGGTCTTTTTCAATTGTTAGGAAATAAGGGCCCCCCTTTGCAGTGATTAAAATCATCTAGAATCATATCAAAAGTCAGTCATTAAGTGAAAATTAAACTTGATTATTGGGTAAATCATATGTAAAATATTTCAGAAAGTGAAAGATTTTTAGAATGACCTAATTATTATGTATTTCTGAAAGTGAATGTTACATACAAAATTTTTTCTCCTTGTCTATTTTCTAATTTCTCAGTGGAATAAGGAATCATTTAGCATAATTTGGGTGGATTATCTTAACTTAAAGGAAAGTAAGACAATCTTGTAGTGGTTCTCAGAATTTATTTCAAAAAAAATTTCTTGAAGATACAATATTATATTAAATATCATACTGAGAATACCAAATTAACCGCCCACTTATTGCAATTTTCTAAGTACCTGGGTGGTTCATAGGGATTATAGGCTATCTATTATATTATCTCATAGATATATAATTATATAGATTATTAAATGCGGAAATCAGATTGAAATGAAAATTCTTTGCATACATATATTAAACATTTAAAATTTCTTCGTATTGATACTTTGATCTTTTCTTTTACAAACATGATTAGAAAAGTAATCTCTAAAGTGATTATTTTGCATCAATTTCATTATTCAAACACACCATTTTCTTTAAATTGGATTATTTTGTTTTAAAATTTAATTTTTTTTTAAATTTAGACAAAATCAGAAACCAAAGACAGAACCTACTGAGAACCTAGCACCTACTCAGGTTCCAGTAAATGACCCTAACATAGCTGGTGCCCCCACTATACTGATTCCCCAGCCTCAGAACCAGACCGAGTTTCACTTACAGAATGAGCCTGACCTGAAGTTTTTACAGGTGCTTGGAGGAGGAAGTGGAGGGCAGGTGTACAGGTAACTCAGGCTCTATTTTGTATAAGCATGTGCCTCAAAAAAGCAGTTTACTTTTCAGGCAACTTTCGGAGTAACATGCGATTTTGGAACAAATATTGACTCAGGCAATGTTAAAGTTATATGAATTTATATAGATAATCGTTAAAAATTTATGAAAATTTCCATCTTCATTTATATGAATTGCATGTTTTAAAAATTTTTTGTAGAGCTTTACATCAGCCTACAGGGACTGTTATGGCAGTCAAGGTAAGGGACAGGTAACAGTGGACAAGGTAACCGACAAATCACCAGACCAAGTCACCATAATAAGTCACTATTCCAAGTCACAAAACAAGTCACTATATCAAGTCTCCATAACAGGTCACCATACCAAGTTACATACCAAGTCAATATATCAAGTCTCCATTACGGCATAACAGGTCTTCATACCAAATTACATATCAAGTCACTATACAAGTCACAATAACAAATCACTATACCAAGTCACCAGAACAAGTCCCTATACCTACTCACCATAACAAGTCCCCATACCAAGTCAACTTAACAAATCACCATACAAGTACCCATATCAAATCGTCATAGCAAATCATTGTACAAGTCACTATAACAAATCACAATACAAAGTTACCATAACCAAGTCATAAGACCAAGTCACCATAAAAGTCACTATACAAAGTCAACTAAACAAGTCACTATACCAAGTCAACAAGTCACTTTACCAAGTCAACATAAAAAGTCACTATACCAAATTAACATAACAAGTTACTATACCAATTCAACATAGCATATTGTCTATTGTAAGCATTTAATCCATTGTTTTTGCTTACTGTATTTCTTCTATTAAAGCAGTTTAGTCACCATAACAGGTCATTTTTATACTTTAAGTTGTGTTTTATGTTTTGGCCATCACCATAAAAGGTTACTTTAACAAGTCACCACAACAAGTCACTATAACAAATCAATGTACATGTCACCATAACAAGTCACCATACCAAGTCAACATAAAAAATCACTATATAAGTCACCATAACATGTCACAAGACCAAGTCACCTTAACAAGGCACTATACCAAGTTGACATAACAAATCACTTTACCAAGTCTACATAACAAGTCTATACAAAATAAGGTTACTGTATGTAGTGAAGCATCAAGGACCACCATGTCAAGCAAAAGTAAATGTCTACATTAGATACACATTTGATGAGGCTTACAAACATGATATAGTCCTGGTATAGTGTCAGGAAAAGGTCAGCAACACACAATAATGTCAATAAGGGGGAAAAGTATCAATACCAGCATAACAGATAAGGGTAACAACTAAAGACAAGAAACATATTACGTGTATATTCTATGGCATGCGTCATTATCTGTTCCAATGTACTATCATTGTATTCTGTACTGTTTTGTAGATGGTGAAGTTGGAGGTTGATCAGAAAACACAAGAACAAATTTTATCAGAACTGGACATTCTCAACAAGGTATATACATAACATTCTGTATTGGAAGATACCGGTAATTTATTTCCCGTCACTGTCATAATCTTATTCCAAAGTGAGTCAGGATGATAGTGTACTTACACATTAAATGAATTCAGAAGAAACATATATAATTATACTAGACATTGAACTAAAGAGTGCTTTCTTATTGCAATATTATGAATTGTTATTAGTTGCAGTTCAAAAGGAATCATTGAAAATTAACACAGTATACAAATGTAAAATACAATGTATGTAAAATGTAAAAATAGAAGTGGTACTCAATAGTTGTTTGATTTTTTTTAGTGCCAGTCTTCTGTCATAATAGGATTCTACAAAGCTTTCTTCAATGAAAACCGCATCTACATCTGTACCGAGTTTATGGACGGTAATTACAATTATGAACTATTACATTTAAGTGAAGAAAAAATCTTCTTGCAGACCTTTATTTAGCTCCTCTCATACTTTGTTTACCCGGTATTATCTGTTAGTAGAACAATGTTTGTTCCTTTTTTTCCCAGGAGGTGCGTTAGATAAATATGCTCCAATTCCTGAGCCAGTGTTAGGACGTATGGCAGTAAATATCATAAAAGGCCTCTGCTACATGTGGAGCCTGAAAATTCTACACAGAGGTAGGTCTGTCAGGGCCATGTCATCAGTTTACATTTTCGAAAATTGTATACGGGGTCTTGAAAAAATATAGCTGGAGTATAATTTAGGGACCTTGCTCACATTGTTCATAGTTTCTTACACATTTCCCTTGAATTAACCCATTTAGACCTTGTATTACAAATGGCCTATTTTGATTTTTGTCAGTATTGTTACAGACATAAAGCCATCCAACATTTTAGTCAATACTCAAGGGCAGGTGAAATTATGTGATTTTGGAGTCAGTACACAGGTAGGGGCAGTATTTAATGAAAATTAAAGATATTTTAAACTATGTACTTAAAATTTTTATTTTACTTCAATGTGTAGGCATCTAAATTTCATTATAAACGTGTTACAAACAAAATTGTCATGCTGTCTTTACAATATTTACATCTGCATGAAAAAAAAAAGAAACCAAAACAAACATACCAATCATACTGTACCTGTGAACTGTTAATGTAAAGAAATAAACAGTTGAAACGAAAGTAGAATTTCCATAAAGATTACATTCGGACATGTTTGTTCTATGTGTATTTGCAGCTTGAGAGGTCCATTGCCAAAACATATATAGGATCTAATGCATATATGGCAGTAAGTATCTGATAACATTTTATTTGTTGTTGAACTATGGATGAAGCTGAAAGTATTCCGGTGTATTACTGAAAGTCAAACTCAGTGAATGGTAGAGTAGATACTGGTGTTTTACGTGGCAGTTTATAAGATGTTTAGGGTGTGTACAGGATTATATTACGTTTGTTTGAATATTATGTACAGGATTATATTATATATGTTTGAATTTTGTACAGGATTATATTATGTATGTTTGAATTTTGTACAGGATTATATTACGTATGTTTGAATTTTGTACAGGATTATATTATGTATGTTTGAATTACGTACAGGATGATATTACATATGTTTGAATTATGTACAGGATTATATTATGTATGTTTGAATTTTGTACAGGATTATATTACGTATGTTTGAATTATGTACAGGATGATATTACGTATGTTTGAATTATGTACAGGATTATATTACGTTTGTTTGAATTTTGTACAGGATTATATTGCTTATGTTGGAATTATGTACAGGATTATATTACATATGTTTGAATTTCAGCCTGAGAGGATAAAAGGTGAGGATTATGGGACACCTGCCGAAATCTGGAGTCTGGGAATCACGTTATTTGAGGTGAGTCTTTGTTTTACATTTATCAGAAACTTGCATGTATTTATTTTGATTTTTAAAATTCTTGACACTACATGTATTTACACTGCGGACAATATTATATTTCAGTTAGCTACAGGAAGATTCCCATACAAGCATGTAAGTAACTATGCTTTCATCATCTAGGCTTAGAGTGGCAAAGTTGAATGGAAATTAAAATCACTTGTAATGAATTGATATAATTTTTTGATATTTGAATTCGCGTAGGTCTATTATTATCCATATGACTAAGTTGCATTTTTCAATTTCTAGTTCAGTTAATTACATTTTTAAATTTTTATTTGTAGAATCCTGAGAAGGTAGGTCTTTTTCAAGTATTCGTAAATACTGTATATGTTTACTAAGTGTATTAAATGGGATCCATTTCAAGTAACTTATTAGAGAATAAATAAAATATGGTACTGTATTGAGTAAACTTAAGCTCTTTTGTCACTAAATTCAATCATGTGTTAAGCAGGTCGAGGAAACTATTTTCTGTGACGTCGGAATAAATTTACATGTTAATTGAGGAACCAACGTGACTGACAAATCGACCAATCAGCTCAATGAGTTGCATTATGGTTTACTACAAAAATACTACACGTGTGTTTCTAAAAGGCCAATTTTTTTAAATGCTCTCGGAAAAACGTGATGCATTTTTCCAAGCATTTTACACACTTAATACAATATGAACATCATTATCTAATAATTCCATGCTCACATTTATATACAAATGATTAACAATGATAAAAATAAGGGTTTTCTCCACTCCATTGTACAATTCCGTTTGTTTACATCTTTCCCCACGCTGTACTATCAGTGAAAAGTCATTTTCTAAAAACAATCAACTCTGAGGTGTGCTCACGTACTGTCAATGTTTACAAAGTATACAACTTCTAAATATATGCTACTCACGTTCTATAATCAATGTGCATGAGGATCTATACGAGGGTCATTCAAAAAGTTCGTAGACTTTTGTCCTAACTTTTTTATTTAACGTCATATTATATCCAAATTTGGTACAAATATTTTAACAACAGATTCAAATAATTTGAGTAAAATAATTGGAGTGTATCTTCATATTTATCGAAATTACCAAGGATTTAGAACAGGAAAAATGGGGTCACGGAGCACCGTCAAAATTGAGTAATTTACTAATTTTCATTTTATAGTATTTACAGCCATACCTCTAATAAATGGAGCTAAAACGAAATAGAATTTACATATTTAAATAAAGTATTGCTGTATTAATTAAAATGAAATCAGGTTATGTAATATGTCGCTCCATTTAAAAGATGTAAGTTTCTAAATACATATGGACTTGATTAAAAAAAGCAAAAAACCATGACGTTGGAGGACGTCACGGAGCAGCAAGTCGCGATGAAATTGTACCTTACATTCGAAAAACTTCTACAAGCTTAAAAAATCCGTATAAACCAGGATCTGTATAAAAAAAATAATCTGTGTATTTTTATTAAATGGAAAATACAATTTTTGAGTGGTAGCGAGTTTGAATCGGACGATTGATTGTCTGCAAAGAAACAGGTTGAAGTTAAAAATATTGTCGAAAGAGTTAGGAACGTCATTGAACGTGATGTGTGCTTCACTGTTGCAGAATTATTAGAGTTATACGGTAAATTAAAGAATTTGAAAACAATGACAATCTTATTCAAGCTATATTTGTACAATTGTTCGCAAACTAGGTGTTAAGTGTTATGGATATGTTTTTTGAATGGAGAAGACGCAACAAACCGTGTTTGAAATTAAGAAAATTAGAATAATTTTGACAAAATTTCTCAACGTTGTCTTTGACGTTACAATGTTGGTTAACCGTGCTCCGTGTTAACAAAACATGTTGGTTTAAATTTTGGCTAATATGCGTTCTACTCAATCAAATGGAATGAAACTTTACACTTCGACAAAATAAATGTTTATGTTTACGAAAATGTGTTGATCGATAATCTTGTAATAATCAAATGACGATGAGAAGCATTGTCTACGTATTTTTTGAATGACCCTCGTACAATAAGCAAATAATTAAAAAAAAGTGCAACTTAATTTTTTTTTTGTTTATAAAATGCAACTTTTAATTTCTAGTAACAAATAACTGAGTAACAACTAATTTAACCATTTACATGTCAAATTAACGAAAATCGAGTTAAAAAACTTGAGTCTTATTTACTTGTGAAGACTTTGTGAGCGATATTTCAAAGTACTATTTAACAAAGAAAACTGACTTTGTTTGTTAATGTGAGCATGGAGAATCTTAATTAGTACCTAATCTTCGTATTTTTCATAAACACAGTTCAAAAAATTGTTAGCTGACTTTCCTGCAGTCATTTGAAATCGAGTCCTAAATTTCCCTGACCCACGTGTTTGTAGTAAAAATAAACATGTAGTAGACCATCATGCTTTTCGGCTCATTCACTGGATTGGACCATTGTTTGCTGTGAGCACCTCTGTGCACAATCGCCACAATATCCATATAAGGTAGTTTCCTCGACCTGTTAAGGCTTTCCCTTGTATTATAAATTTCTTTTACTCTGTATTTTAGCCAATGGGTCTCCTATCATCCATAATAAGTGAAGTAAGTAAAATCTGAGTTTACATTTTTCTCATGCCTTTTATATGATTCATTCAGTAATTAAAATAAATTTTCGAATTAAAATGTTCCTAAGGTCTGTGTTGATCTTGTTGATTTGTCGTTTGGTGACTTGGGATACTCATTAATTCTTAATCCTTCAGGAGACCCCACAATTATCAGATGACCTCTTCTCTCCAGACTTTGTCAATCTTGTGGCACACTGGTATGGTCATTTTAGAATTCATTTTTTTGATATTTTTGTAATTGTACACATACTGTAGTGTTGTAACATATAGTTTATTTTTAATGGCATTTTATGTGTAACCACATTTTTAAAAAAATAATCTTTGCAGTATGCAGCAGAAACCAGAGGACCGACTTACTTTGGAAGACATATCTGTAAGGAAACGGTCATTTTGAAATTATTTGAAAATAAATTTTAAATGCAATAATCCAGTGAGTAAGCAGTTCATAACAGGGAAATATCTATCAAGATTCATTTGTAGCAGCTTCTAATTATTCTTTTTTTTTTAATTAAATCATTAGTTTATCAATTTAATTATTGCAGATTCATCCATTTATACAAAGACACAATGATGGAAATATAGCAGTGATTGCGTCCTGGGTTCAAAACAGATTGGAGGAGTTATCTCAAAATAGGATGACTTCGTAAGGGGGCATCTCAAAGTGATTTTTTCCCTCTCATATCCCTAACTAGTCATAATGGAAGGAAAATATTTGAAATGTTTCTGAAATTTCAGCCAAAAAATTGTAATGCCATTATATTTATTTCATCTGAATTGATCAAGTATGCTTAGTATACGTATTTTAGTGAATAAAGTTTTAAAATAAGAATTTGATAAACTATCATATTTAGTACTTGTACATCTTTATTATGTTCCCCAAACGAAGTTGGGGAACATATTGTTTTTACTCTGTTTCTTATTAGAGTCATTTTCAAAATTTGTCCAAATTCCAACACCAGTATTTTGCAAAAATAAATGTGGCAATCTAAACTTTTTAAAGTTTTATTTTAGCATTCAAACATCATAGATGCATAAACAATGTTAAAGCACAAAGAATTCTATTAACATATACTAAAAAAAACATTATATGTACATGGACCCAACAATAAATGTCCATGGTGTTACTTAGTTAAAAGTCATAGTAAAATCATAATTTAAAAAAAAATTAAGGTTTTTAGAATAACAATCTCAACATAGTGATAAAATTATTCTATTGAATGAAACTGAAGTTCCATAACAGAAAATTATCAGTTAAAGTATAGCTGGAAGTTGTAAGTGTTGTAACTTTTGTATATATCTTACACGTTTACTTAAGGCATACATCATTTACCTCAGCACAAAATACTTGCTTTGCAAATAAACTTAGTATTAGAAAACGACAGTATTGTGTTGCAAGTTTCGATAAAATTGTATAAAGATTTAGAACATAAATATAGGAAAAATGTGTTGGTAACACCAAGGATATTTGCATAACACAAAGGACATAAAGGTTACACTAAGGATATTTTGTGTAATACTTAGAAAGAAATAATAAAGTTGTTCTCCTTCCTTCCGAAAAGGATAGTAATGAAATTACCCTAGAGGTGAATATAAGAGTATATGGTTTTAACATAAAAAATTGGCGGGGGATTCCTTTCATTATACATTTTGAGTCTGACTAGTAACACCAAGGATAAAACAGTAACGACATAGACATAACTATCCAATCATAAGATATATGACAGTAGAAAAATGAAATCAAATTGTTATGCCCGAATAATAAATAATTACTATCACATGACTTTGAATCATTGATCAGTACTTGTTAGTGTATTTACATATCCAAGCAGAAGCTGTAACACCAATGACAAAAAATAACACAAAGGACACCTTTAAAAGATTCAAAGGTTTACATAGAGGAGTCTTAGATCAGCTAGAACTAATTTTTAATGAAGAAATAATTGTGAAACTAGAACATGTACATGTATTTGTAAATGACCAGATTTCAAATATATAGAATGCATTAATCTTTTTATGGATTTTACCTTTTCATTTCATTTATCTACAGCTAGCCTCTTTCCACAATGAGCTCTCTACATAATACACATCTACAAGATATGATGGTGACAATATTATTAAAACATTAGCAATGCTATACCAGCTTTTATCTTTTACAGCTTTTGGCCTGTTAAAAAGGAACATGGTTTTAGGTTCTGTCTAATCCCGTGCATACATTTAAGTTCATTTTTTCTGTATCTTTATCCAGTCTCTCTTCCAAAGGATCTGATTTCTCTTCATCTGTAGTCTGATGTTCATTATTGACTCCAATTCTTTCTCTTCCAGGGTGTCAGTCTTTTCAGTTTCTTTAGTCGGATTTCCTATCAGGAACTCTTGACTTTTTTTAATCTGTACTCTTTTTCATTTTTTTCATTGATATTTTTCTGCCCTTTTTGCTCTTGTATCCACTGATCGTTAGCCAAACTTTGATTGACAGTTCTTCAGGGTAACAATCCAACAAAGTGGCTTGAAATGTAGTGGTCTGCCACCATATCTGGCCTTGTTGTTGTCCAATGCTGCCTCGACTATATAATCTTCTCCACCACTTTCCAAAAGCTTATGTACATCCAAGGTTAAAAACTTCTTTCAGCACCAACTTTTACAGGATGTAGAACGGTCATGAGGGATTTCAGGTGGACAAATCTGAAGAACATCCTCAACTAAATGCAAAACTGTATTCTAGGGTAATGACTGGTACATTGTCTCCTTAAAAAAATCTTTTGAAATCCTTTTATAACAGTTATGAACAATTTGTGACTTTTTCATCTAAGGGTTTACATGATTAAAGGACTTTAAATGCATTTGCAAAGAAATGTTCCGTATCTGATATAACTTTAAAGGTATTTTCAATTCAATGATATAAATCTATCTTTTACGTCTTGGATTCTATTGGCTTCATTGCAACTTTTTAATGTGTCTTATTTACATCATCTTCATTAAGAGAACATAACTAGAATCCTCAGACTAAAGAAAACAAATCATATTCTGCCTTATTTCACATTCCCTTGTGTTACCTAAAACTTCCTTTGTGTTACCATTTTTAACCATCATATATTTTTAGCACTTCATTATTTATTGTTACTTGAATTGCAATATACCACCACATTTGTTTTCTGCAATACAATGAACACAATTACCACTCCATATGCAATACGCTTGTTTCATTTTTCTATCTTTAATCCTTGCTGTGTCCCTTGAGTAACTGAATTTGTCTATGGTGTTACCATAGGTTACTTTAAAGAGCATAAAAGGGGATATGATTGCATTACATAATGAATTTTGATATTTCAATTTATTCAAAAGAAATAAAAGTTGTATATTTTCCTACAGAAACAAAAGAACATGCAAGAGTATATTAATAACATAAATATTTAATCATTTTTACATCCATTGTGTTACCAAACATTGTCCTTTGTGTTACTCAAATTATTTATTGAATTAATTTATAGCTCATGGAAACATAATATGAAAAATAAATGCCAATTTGATAAAAATATTTCTGTTATTTTATATTGTAATAAACTTTACACAAATGTTGTATTAAAATTGGGAATTTAAAGGGTTTTTTTTTGAATTGGTCCACGGAGTTACCCAATTCTGTCCTTTGCATAAACGAGACTGCAAAATCATATGATTTTCAAATGGTAAAAACGTTTAGTAAATAATTTGGCATTTTAAAACAAAATTAGTTACTGGATAGTTTTAGATAAGGGAGGAAAATAAAACATATGACTCCAACTTGCATTCTTTTTAATTATTTTCTATGTAAATTGTCCATGGAGTAACTAGATACATCCTTAGAGTAACTTTTCTTGCAGTAACAAATTGGACAGTAACACCAGGGAATTATTATATAAATAATTGGAAGTATAAAAGCAATAACTGACTTATGAACATAAAGCACAGCTCCAAGATGATAGGTATTTTGTTATAAACTTGCTCAATGCATCAAAGAAATGGCAAATTAATTTATCATCACAATATCGAAGTAACTCCTAGGACTCAAAAATAAATTACTATTGCAATCAAACTTGCCTTCAACCACATATTGTGCCTATGGTATAAAATATCTATGTAAAGTGTCTCATGCTATTTTGGCGGGAACAAGACCAAAAGAAGGAGGCTGATAGTGAAGAGTTTCTTTAGGAAAGATAACTGTTACAGATAACTTTTATGTCCTGGTAACTCCAAGGACACGGCCAAAATAACACACACTTAACTTAAAAAAAATCATATTCTTACTCTTTTTCAATCACATTTTAGCATGCATTTAGACAGTATTAAACATGTACAACACAATAAAGGTCATTTTACACTGCTTAATTATATCTACTACATCAATAATCAGAGTTGAAGTCAAACATCCGGCCAAATCACAAGCAATTCTCTTTAATTTTACTCAGATTGAAGGACTTTTTTCAGTATTCAAGTCAATTTTTAATCGCACTTAATTTTTTTCTACACTTGTAGATTGTTGTTAAATTCATCAGGTAAAAAAAGAATTTATTTTTATTGCAAAATTTTCAAAAAAAGCTTGTATAACAGGAATTTGGACATTTTTTGAAAATGACCCATTATTATTTTTCTTCTTCTTCCTGGGTACTTTTTTGTCCGCGAGTGATCTTGTAAACTGTTCACCCGAAGTAGGTAAAACCTTTTTAGGGTCAGAAGGCATGTTATGTAGATTTGCGGAACGAAGGTCATTTTGCGCGCACGTGCTTGCAAGAGCGTGCACGTGCAACACGTGAAATGACCGATTTAATTGATATGGGCGTTATTTTTTAATTTTTTGATGAAATGCTTTGAAACTGATAATGTAAGGATATATTAGTAGCATAGACAATATGCCATGGTCAAAATAGCAAGATCTCACGCGCATGCACGTGCGCTTCGCTCTGATTGGCTGAAACTAAAGTCTCAATATCTTTCTTGTTTTTTGACGAAATCCTTTGAAATTTTGAACATTGCCATGCGTTAGGATATTCTACAACATGATATATAGCAATTATCATGAAAACACGTCCATGCACGTGCGCTGCAATCTGATTGGCTTAAACTTTAAATAGCAATAACTCCCTTGGTTTTCAACCAAACAGGATGGGATTTGGAAAATGGATAGATATAATGGACTACTACAAGAAGGTATGGTCACCAGGCACATGCGTACACGTGCGTTTACGTGTGCTGCAATCTGATTGGCTGAAACTTTAAACAGCTATAACTCCCTTGGTTTTCAACCAAACGGGATGGGATTTAAACATAGACAGATGTAATGGACTTCTACAAGAAGGTATGGTCACCATGTTCATGTATGCACGTGCGTGCACGTGAAATAAGCAAAATCAAAAATACACTTGAATGATCGTATTTTTTAATACTTTTGGATTAAATTCTTCAATATTTAGTATATTAAAATATATAGATTGTGTAGACAAGATGATATGGACATTACGCACAGGCTTTCACATGTGCATGTGTGCAATGCTGAAATTTGAATGAACTTGGTACAATTCTGGGTAAACGTTGTTAAAGTCTCATAGAGTTTGTCTTAGTTAATGAAGCTTACAGTGAATATAGCACAAAAAGGGAGTTGGGGAGCGTTTGGGGAACATCTGTAACGGTCCCCGTTACAATTAGCACTAGTTCAGATATCCCTTTCATCATACACATATCAACTTTACCTCATTGAATAATTACTGATGGTACCTTGGATTTCAATACACACTAGAGGTACTGTGAGCTTTTGGATTATAGTGGCAAAATCCATTTTT